ACAACACCCACCAAAGACAAAAGGAAAAGAAAAGACACACTAGACCAGTGCACCTCCATGGTAACTCCACAATTAAGGAAAAAAGAACCTTATCATATGAGCGTACTCAGGTTTTTTTCCAAGTGGGAGTCAAAAGGGTGCATAAAGCAATTAGTCACTAAGATATTTGTTAAAATCCTAGAGAGAAAATGAGACGTGGTGTTTCCATTTGACTCTTTAATTTGCTCCATGATAATATGTTCTGTAGTTTGAGTTAATTTATCTTACTTTTGTCTAAATTGAATTTCGAGTGCTTGTCCTTGTTTCTTTGTGAAGAAAAAATTGAGGAAGATATTCTGAATTCTCATCATATGAAAAGGAAGGGAATTTTCCCTTATGTACAGAGTCCAGGACGACTTTCTTCTTCCACCAAAATAGGAATCAAAACAGAAAAAATAGAAAATCTCTTTATGAGAGAATCCCAACAAATTAGGAGCTAATTTTGGAATAATATCTGATAAAACTAACAAGGAATCCTAACAAATTATATCTCTAAATAAAGCATAAAATATCCTAATTAATATTCCTAATTATCTGTACAATTCTACACTCCCCCTCAAGCTGGGTTGTATATGCTATACAATCTAAGCTTGACGCTGAGTTCTTCAAAGTTGGCTCTTGGAAGAGCTTTTGTAAGGATACCTGCAATCTGAAACCGTGATGGTACGCAGTTCAGCTCCACAACACCAGTGTTGACCTTTTCGGAGATGAAATGCCTGTCAATTTCAATGTGTTTAGTCCTGTCATGATGAGCAGGATTCTTTGCAATATTGATTGCTGCCTGACTATCACTTAGCATCCTAACCATGCCATCCACCTCTACCTTGAGCTCCTTTAATAATCTCTGAATCCACATGCCTTCACATATTCCCAAAGCTAATGCTTGGTACTCTGATTCTGCACTGCTTCGAGATACTACAATCTGCTTTTTGCTTCTCCATGTTACTAGATTGCCCCAAACATGTGAACAATAGCCAGTTGTAGATCTTCTGTCGGTCAACTCTCCCGCCCAACTAGCATCCGTGTAAACCTCTAGCTTTCGATTTGTAGATTTCCTGATGATTAACCTGTGTCCAGGAATCATTTTTAGGTACCTCAGAACTCTATTCACTGCTTCCAAATGATCTTCATTAGGGCTGTTCATATGTTGACTTATGATGCTGACCGAATAGGCAATATCTGGTCTCGTATGGGATAGATAAATTAACTTCCCTACAAGCCTTTGATACATTCCCTTGTCAACTGGAATTACTTCTCCACTTTTATTTGCTCTGAGATTGGAATCCATTAGTGTATCGGTTGGCTTACACCCAAGCATGTCGGTTTCCTTCAACAAGTCCAGAATGTATTTTCTCTGAGATATGACTATTCCATCCTTGGATCTAGCAACTTCCATCCCAAGAAAGTATTTGAGGTTTCCCAGATCCTTAATCTCAAATTCTTTTGCAAGCATCTTTTTGAGACTGAGAATTTCTTCACCATCATCTCCTGTTATAATGATGTCATCTACATATACTATCAGAATAACAATGTTACCCTTTGTCGAGAGTTTCACAAACAGTGTGTGACCAGATTGGCACTGACAGTAGCTATTTTTCTTCACAGCCTTAGTAAACCAATCGAACCATGCACGAGGTGACTGCTTTAGGTCGTATAAGGACCTTTTTAATTTGTAAACCAACTTGCTGTTTGAAGCATTTTCCATTCCAGGAGGAATCTGCATGTAAACTTCCTCTTCAAGGTCTCCATTCAAGAAAGCGTTCTTGACATCTAGTTGATACAATGGCCAATCCAGATTCACCGCTAGGGATAAAAGCACTCTCACCGTGTTTAACTTAGCAACAGGAGCAAACGTCTCTTGGTAATCAATACCATAACCATAAGACTGAGTGAACCCCTTTGCCACAAGTCTAGCTTTAAGCCTTTCCACACTACTATTTGCTTGATATTTCACTGTGAAAATCCATTTGCATCCAACTAAACTTTTTCCTTTCGGCAGTTCAGTGAGTGTCCAAGTACCATTACTTTCTAATGCTCGAATTTCTTCCTCTACAGCATGTTTCCAGGCCGGATCTTTGAGAGCCTCTTGAATTGACTGAGGAATTTGCACACTGTTAAGCTGAGAAATAAAGGTTTTGTAGGATGGCAATAAATTTCCGTAGGCCACATACTTCTCAATTGGGTGAGTGATGCATTTCTTGACACCCTTTCTTTGAGCAATGGGCAGAGAAGAATCATCAATATTGATAGGTACAAGTAAATTCATACCTTCATGACCTGAGGTAGGTGGATTAGGATCAGGTACTTGGCAGTCTTGTGGCTGCATGTTGGCCTCTATTTGCTCAGCAGGTCGCCTTCTTCTTGAGTAGATAATGACATCAAATTTTGATGCTGGGATGTTTGAGAGTTATGAGTGACTTCAGTACTAGTGAAGTCAGGAGTGGGCTCAATAGTAGGTTCATTTGACACTGGAGTTGGAATGGATGCAGAATCAGATAGAGGAGGTACAGATTTGTTAGGGAAAATAGGAAAAACAGCTTGAGTATATTGAAAAGTGTCCCAAATCTGAAATTCCTTAGAAGTCTCCCCCTGAATTTGGGATTTAGGAAAGTAAGGCTGATTTTCAAAAAATGTGACGTCCATAGAGTGATAAACCTTTTGAGTGAGAGGGGAATAACATTTGTAGCCTTTGTGGTTGGAGGAATAACCAAGAAACACACATTTGAGTGATTTAGGATCAAGTTTAGAACGATTAGCCTTTGTGGTTGGAGGAATAACCAAGAAACACACATTTGAGTGATTTAGGATCAAGTTTAGAACGATTGTGTTGATGAATATGGACAAAAGAGAAGAAACACACATTTGAGTGATTTAGGATCAAGTTTAGAACGATTGTGTTGATGAATATGGACAAAAGAGATACAACCAAATACCTTTATAGGAAGGTCAGATGAGAAAGACCTGAGATGAGGATGTATGCCTAGCAGAGTTTGGCGAGGGGACTTGAAGGCAAGTACACGGCTAGGCATTCTGTTTATAAGATATGTGGTAGTGAGAATAGCTCCCCCCAAAAAATGTTTAGGAACATGATTAGAAAACATGAGAGACCGAGCCATTTCTAGTTGGTGTCTATTTTTCCGCTCAGCGACGCCATTTCGTTGAGGAGTATCAACACAAGAACTAATATGAACGATTCCATGTTTGGATAGATATGGACCAAGAGTAGAGTTGAAATAATCCTTAGCATTATCAGTTTTAAAAACTTGAATTTTGCTTTGGAATTGGGTTGAGATCATGGAATGAAAGGTTTGAAAAATTATTGATGTCTCAGATTTTTCTTTCATTAGAAATGTCCAAGTAGTTCTTGTATGTTCGTCAATAAAAGAAATGAACCATCTAGTACCATTAATGTTTTTAACACGTGAAGGCCCTCATATATCACTATGAATGACTGAAAAAGGGTGAGAGGGTTTATATTGTAGGCTAGAGTACACATGTCTAGTATGTTTGGAAAGTTGGCAAATTTCACATTGATAAGAATTGAACCTTTTATTGATAAATAGATGTGGAAATATCTTTTCAAGGTACATAAAGTTTGGATGACCAAGGTGAAAATGTCATAACATAACTTGACACTCAGCAGAATTAGAAACAATTGAATTGAGAAAAACAGAATTGAAAACAAGACCAACTGAATTGACACTGGACTTTGAAATATGACATGAAGAAGAAGCTTGATCTCCTTGAAGCAAATATAGGCATCCACGCTCCTTAGCACTGCCAATCACCTTCCCCGAATCCTCCACCTGAAATTCCCAAAGATTAGAATAAAACTTAGTTATACACTTCAAGTCTCGTGTAAGTTTGCTAATGGAAAGAAAATTGCAGTCTAAGTTTGGAACATAAAGTACATCAGAAAGATAGAGATTTGGGGTCAATTGTATTGACCCAGTTCCTGTCACTGCTGAGAAAGTTCCATCAGCTATGTGGACTGCAGAGTGATTTGCACACGGTTTGTAGCTTAGGAAGGCAGTGATGTCACTAGCCATGTGGTCTAAAGCGCCTGAGTCAACAATCCATGGTTTGGATTTACTGTTTTGCACAACATAAGTAGTGTGAGGAATACCTTGATGGGCTAACAAACTAGTGGGAGGATCAGTAGAAGGTGCCTGAGATAATTGAGATGTGGTGGAGATATGCCCAAGGAGCTGCTGTAGAGCATCAATCTGTGTCTTAGTAAAGGGACAAGAACTGGCATTGTTCTCTGAAGTAGTTGTTGCACGTGCCTGAATACTATGTTCATTCTTGCGGGCTGATTTCCAATCCGCTGGTTTGCCATGCAATTTTCGACATGTGTCCTTCATATGTCCTACCCTTTTGCAATAGTCACACCAAGGACGACCACTTTTCCTGAACTTATTATCAAGGGAGGAGTTGTGGGTGTACATGGCTGATCCTTCGGTGTTGAGTGAGGGTTGATTATCAGACATCATTAATTTCTTTCGGCTCTCTTCCCTCCTGACTTCAGCAAAGGCCTCATGGATGGTAGGTAGGGGTTTTATCCCTATTATTCTCCCTCTTACTTCGTCCAGATCTTGGTTGAGGCCTAAGAGAAACCTAAAAGTTCTCTTTTGCTCAATGATTTTCTTATAAAGGGCCGAATCATCTGAGCACTTCCAGGAGTAAGCCTCATACATGTCGAGTTGCAACCAATAGCGTGTAAGCAGATTAAAATATTGAGTTACACTGGAATCTCCTTGACGTAGATCATATAACCTAGTCTCAATGTCAAATAACACCGAGTAATTCTCAGTACTAGAATAGGTTTCACGAGCAGCCTCCCATATATCCTTTGTTGTTTTGTAAAGCAAAAAATTTTCACCAACTTCTGTTGTCATCGAGGTGATCAGCCATGACATAACTAAATGATCATCAGTTCTCCAGGCTCTATACTTCAGATCTGTGGCTTCTGGGGCAACAACTTCACCGGTAAGATGTCCATCTTTGCCTCTATCACATATGAACATAAACACGGATTGGGACCACTGAAGGAAATTATGACCCTGCAGTTTGTGGTTGGTGATGGGCTGAGAAGAGGACTCTGGAATAACTGGAACAGAACCAGGAGTGATAGAATCAGATCTAGAGGTGACATCTGATGAAGTGGAATTAGAGGCCATGCCGTATTTTGTCATGAAGAGAACAACACGGGAAAGATATTCTAGGGTTTAGAGATTTGCTCTGATACCATGAAGAAAAAATTGAGGAAGATATGCTGAATTCTCATCATATGAAAAGGAAGGGAATTTTCCCTAATGTACAGAGTCCAGGACGACTTTCTTCTTCCACCAAAATAGGAATCAAAACAGAAAAAATAGGAAATCTCTTTATGAGAGAATCCCAACAAATTAGGAACTAATTTTGGAATAATATGCGATAAAACTAACAAGGAATCCTAACAAATTATATCTCTAAATAAAGCATAAAATATCCTAATTAATATTCCTAATTATCTGTACAATTCTACACTTTGTTTGCACCCCCAGAAATGGTAGATCTCTCTTCAACAACTAATTTGTTTTAGCCCCTAGCTAAAACAAATGGTTTTTGTTGGATAGTTCTTTGCAATGTAGCGTCAAAGATGGGTGGCTATGAGATTCTTGCTTGAGATATTTGTTAAATCCCTTCAGAGGATGTGAGATGCTGTCTTTACTGTAAATTATCACATCTTACCTTCTGTCTAGATTTCACAGGATCTGGGGAACGTTGAGGGCTGCTCCTTGTGTCATTGTTTGCATGGATTTAGACTACAATTATCCGGAAGAGGTCTATCTACTATCAAACAGTCACTAGAATTTTGTGATGTGGCCGAGTTTGCTCATTGTTGTCTTGACCTATAGTATATCCTTCCAGCTAGAAGAGGGTTACCCTGAGGATTATTACAAGTTCAAAAAAAACCCTTGGTTTTTCTTTAGTCAAGCTTAAGCCAGGTTGGGCCGAGTTTGCTCATTGTTGTCTTGACCTATAGTATATCCTTCCAGCTAGAAGAGGGTTACCCTGAGGATTATTACAAGTTCAAAAAAAACCCTTGGTTTTTCTTTAGTCAAGCTTAAGCCAGGTTGGGGATACAGTGTATGTTTGTTTCATCTGAATGCCCGTTTTAGCTTTTGGAGGATAATCTAATGACGGTGAAAATATAGGAGAATCTTTTTGCAAAGATACAATAGCTATTTGAGAATATAAATACCATAGAATGTATTTTGACCATAGAATGTATATCTGCAAGTGTGATTGGTTAGCGGAATTTTAAGTTGATAACTGGTTGTAGAACTTGGTCAATTCATTCTGGAACCTTTGAATTTTTGTTTGATGGGCTTAGATGACTGTGGTGGGATGGCAATGCGTTAGGAGCTGCAAAGATATAGTAGCAGAATCTTTGTAGATTGGACTTCTATTTTGACCAACTACATTGGTCTTGGTTATAGAGATTTCCTTCAGATCTACCATACCATAAGGAGAAACACTGCTTAATAGGATACCAAAAGAGTCTCATGCTCTGTCAATGCATAACTAGAACAGTTTCTTTATTATTATTATTATTGGTTAGGTTATCCTAACATTTCATTATGTATTATAGGTGAGATCTCTAACGTTAGATGTGAAGGTTTGGGAGCCCACCATCTTGGATTTATTCGGTAGGCTTGGCAATACTTATTGTAATTCTGTGTGGGAGGAATTGCTTCTACTTCAAGAAGAAAGGTAAAAGTTTCACAAGATGAATAAGTTTTGAGTTGCTTACTTTTATGAACTCTTAATAAACAAGGTAATATATAGATTGTCATGAATAATATGCCTTTTCCCATCTTCATATATCTTGTTCCTTCGAGAACTTTGCTGGTTGGTTCAGTTGTCTTTGAAATTAAAATTCGCAAGATCGCAGTTAATATCTCAGTCTTTATTTGGCAGTTAGGATTTTATCCATAAATGTTGTCCGGTCCATATGGAAACATTTTGTGCTTGGAGATTGAAACTTTTTTATGAAAATGTGTGATCCGACGAAGTCAGCCTTCTTAGTTCATTGTCTTCTCATAATTTGAAAAGTTATGTACTGAATTGATCTGCTTCAGTTTACTGGAAAGTCATTTGTTTATAAGGTAATCTTAGTACATAAGAAAAAGTAAAGTCAAGAGTTATGGTATATGAATTTGCCTACAGTCAGAGAAAAGCTCTTGCACATGCTCTTTCATTAATCTGTACGCTTTGTGTCTACCCGTGTAAAGTTTTCATAGTTAAGAACTAGTATCTCAATCACCCTACCAAGGCCTGGGAAATGGCTGAGGTTGTAGACCCAGATTTAATGTTTGTTTTTGTTGTACTACTTTATATGCGTTATTGAATGTCTCACCTTATGATTCGACTAATTACAGTACATTGATGCAGTATGGGTGAATTGTCAACCAAAAAGCCTAGTCCTAAAGATGCCTTCGCAGATAAGGAAAAATACATCCACTTAAAGGTAATATACCTAACCTGTTATTAGCTTAGTAGATTGTATTTGTTTATCTTCGTTATTATTGATCTTTGTTCTTTATTATCTCATGGTCTGTTTTTGGCATTGCAGTATGTGGATAAAATATTAATCGTTAAAGAAACATCTCAAACAGATCTCCCAGCTCTTGCTGCCCGTATTTGGGAGTCAGTAAAGACTAACAATGTACAAGAAACATATCGTCTTATCGTGGCATCAAATGTAAATCCAAACACTCAATATAATGAGATGAATGTTGATCTTTATCATCTTGAAGATACTTCAAGGGCTAAAGATAGTGGGTACAAAGAGAAGCATATAGATCCCCAATCATGTGAGAAACTCAAATACTCTGGTGAGCTAGAAAGTTGTTTGCAGGGCTGTACACTATTGCATTTAGCGTGTCACGGTAGTGATCCTGTGATGCTGGAACTGTTGCTACAGTTTGGTGCTGATATCAATAGACAAGACTGCCATGGGAGGACTCCTCTCCACCATTGTATCTTAAAGAAGAATGATGACCTTGCGTCGTACCTCATTAGGAGGTAAGAGTATGACCGTGAGCAGTAAATTTTGAGTAATGAAGCTTAGTTCTATACATTCTTAGGCCATTTTGAAACACTGATAATGATCACTAGGCATGAATATTTTATTTCTCTCAAAAAAGGGTCCGGTTCTATTTTTTGAGTAACTAGAAATATTTACCAAATTTAGCTATAATTAAGATCGTAAATATGTTATCAATACATGTCAAACATGTACGAGTTGGACACTATCAGACACATGAGACTCAATTTTAACTGCTCGTGCTTCTTAGGTTTTGTTCTTGATTTTGATTTTGAAAATATCTTCTCTCGAAAGAATCAAAGCTTGAAACACTATCCAAGTAGTCTAAATTTTGACATTTCTTTTCACGAATATTTTACTTCTCTCTCTCAAAAAAAAAGTCTGGTTCTATTTTTTAGTAGTAGAGATATTGACCAAATTTAGCGATCTTACATAAATCTGAAACATGATATCAATACATGTCAAACATGTATGAGTTGGACGCTAATCAGACACGCATGTGGCTCTATTTTAACTGCCCATGCTTGAAACGCTATCCAAGTAGTTAGAAAGTTGACATTTCTATAAGTAAGCTCGTCATGTAGAAGTAACCTACGGTCTGAAAATTAGCTCCTTTGACATTTTTGTGATCATCCAGAGGTGCATGTACATCGACTACAGATGGTGGAGGCTTAACTGCTTTGGAAAGAGCCATGGAGCTCGGAGCAATAACCAATGAAGAACTCTTCATATTGCTTGCTGGACATGAGTGAGACAAGAAAAGATATATCCCCTGTATATCATCTTCAGTAAGTCCTATTTAATTGTTCTTTTGCTTGTGAATAATGCTATATTATCACTTAGTACTTTAGTTTTTTTATCGTACTAGTCTTTGGTGTGAATGACAAGAACTAGGCAATTTGGCTTTGGACAAATTTTTTATTTTTATTTGTTATAAATACTTGTTCATATTGATCCACACGTGAACAAACATTTTTCACAATCAACACAAGGATTCCATCAGTTGCGACCTTTAAATCCAAATTTAGTATGAAGGTGTATACGGCAGACAAATTGTTCAATGATTCCAATTATTCTGATTAACTGAAGAGATGTTTTTTTTAAAAGCTATGATGGTCAAGATACAGTGTGATGTTTGTTTCATCTGAATGCCCGTTTTAGCTTTTGGAGGATAATCTATGGTCAAGATACAGTGTGATGTTTGTTTCATCTGAATGCCCGTTTTAGCTTTTGGAGGATAATCTAATGACGGTGAAACTATAGGAGAATCTTTTTGCAAAGATACAATAGCTATTTGAGAATATAAATACCATAGAATGTATTTTGACCATAGAATGTATATCTGCAAGTGTGATTGGTTAGCGGAATTTTAAGTTGATAACTGGTTGTAGAACTTGGTCAATTCATTCTGGAACCTTTGAATTTTTGTTTGATGGGCTTAGATGACTGTGGTGGGATGGCAATGCGTTAGGAGCTGCAAAGATATAGTAGCAGAATCTTTGTAGATTGGACTTCTATTTTGACCAACTACATTGGTCTTGGTTATAGAGATTTCCTTCAGATCTACCATACCATAAGGAGAAACACTGCTTAATAGGATACCAAAAGAGTCTCATGCTCTGTCAATGCATAACTAGAACAGTTTCTTTATTATTATTATTATTGGTTAGGTTATCCTAACATTTCATTATGTATTATAGGTGAGATCTCTAACGTTAGATGTGAAGGTTTGGGAGCCCACCATCTTGGATTTATTCGGTAGGCTTGGCAATACTTATTGTAATTCTGTGTGGGAGGAATTGCTTCTACTTCAAGAAGAAAGGTAAAAGTTTCACAAGATGAATAAGTTTTGAGTTGCTTACTTTTATGAACTCTTAATAAACAAGGTAATATATAGATTGTCATGAATAATATGCCTTTTCCCATCTTCATATATCTTGTTCCTTCGAGAACTTTGCTGGTTGGTTCAGTTGTCTTTGAAATTAAAATTCGCAAGATCGCAGTTAATATCTCAGTCTTTATTTGGCAGTTAGGATTTTATCCATAAATGTTGTCCGGTCCATATGGAAACATTTTGTGCTTGGAGATTGAAACTTTTTTATGAAAATGTGTGATCCGACGAAGTCAGCCTTCTTAGTTCATTGTCTTCTCATAATTTGAAAAGTTATGTACTGAATTGATCTGCTTCAGTTTACTGGAAAGTCATTTGTTTATAAGGTAATCTTAGTACATAAGAAAAAGTAAAGTCAAGAGTTATGGTATATGAATTTGCCTACAGTCAGAGAAAAGCTCTTGCACATGCTCTTTCATTAATCTGTACGCTTTGTGTCTACCCGTGTAAAGTTTTCATAGTTAAGAACTAGTATCTCAATCACCCTACCAAGGCCTGGGAAATGGCTGAGGTTGTAGACCCAGATTTAATGTTTGTTTTTGTTGTACTACTTTATATGCGTTATTGAATGTCTCACCTTATGATTCGACTAATTACAGTACATTGATGCAGTATGGGTGAATTGTCAACCAAAAAGCCTAGTCCTAAAGATGCCTTCGCAGATAAGGAAAAATACATCCACTTAAAGGTAATATACCTAACCTGTTATTAGCTTAGTAGATTGTATTTGTTTATCTTCGTTATTATTGATCTTTGTTCTTTATTATCTCATGGTCTGTTTTTGGCATTGCAGTATGTGGATAAAATATTAATCGTTAAAGAAACATCTCAAACAGATCTCCCAGCTCTTGCTGCCCGTATTTGGGAGTCAGTAAAGACTAACAATGTACAAGAAACATATCGTCTTATCGTGGCATCAAATGTAAATCCAAACACTCAATATAATGAGATGAATGTTGATCTTTATCATCTTGAAGATACTTCAAGGGCTAAAGATAGTGGGTACAAAGAGAAGCATATAGATCCCCAATCATGTGAGAAACTCAAATACTCTGGTGAGCTAGAAAGTTGTTTGCAGGGCTGTACACTATTGCATTTAGCGTGTCACGGTAGTGATCCTGTGATGCTGGAACTGTTGCTACAGTTTGGTGCTGATATCAATAGACAAGACTGCCATGGGAGGACTCCTCTCCACCATTGTATCTTAAAGAAGAATGATGACCTTGCGTCGTACCTCATTAGGAGGTAAGAGTATGACCGTGAGCAGTAAATTTTGAGTAATGAAGCTTAGTTCTATACATTCTTAGGCCATTTTGAAACACTGATAATGATCACTAGGCATGAATATTTTATTTCTCTCAAAAAAGGGTCCGGTTCTATTTTTTGAGTAACTAGAAATATTTACCAAATTTAGCTATAATTAAGATCGTAAATATGTTATCAATACATGTCAAACATGTACGAGTTGGACACTATCAGACACATGAGACTCAATTTTAACTGCTCGTGCTTCTTAGGTTTTGTTCTTGATTTTGATTTTGAAAATATCTTCTCTCGAAAGAATCAAAGCTTGAAACACTATCCAAGTAGTCTAAATTTTGACATTTCTTTTCACGAATATTTTACTTCTCTCTCTCAAAAAAAAAGTCTGGTTCTATTTTTTAGTAGTAGAGATATTGACCAAATTTAGCGATCTTACATAAATCTGAAACATGATATCAATACATGTCAAACATGTATGAGTTGGACGCTAATCAGACACGCATGTGGCTCTATTTTAACTGCCCATGCTTGAAACGCTATCCAAGTAGTTAGAAAGTTGACATTTCTATAAGTAAGCTCGTCATGTAGAAGTAACCTACGGTCTGAAAATTAGCTCCTTTGACATTTTTGTGATCATCCAGAGGTGCATGTACATCGACTACAGATGGTGGAGGCTTAACTGCTTTGGAAAGAGCCATGGAGCTCGGAGCAATAACCAATGAAGAACTCTTCATATTGCTTGCTGGACATGAGTGAGACAAGAAAAGATATATCCCCTGTATATCATCTTCAGTAAGTCCTATTTAATTGTTCTTTTGCTTGTGAATAATGCTATATTATCACTTAGTACTTTAGTTTTTTTATCGTACTAGTCTTTGGTGTGAATGACAAGAACTAGGCAATTTGGCTTTGGACAAATTTTTTATTTTTATTTGTTATAAATACTTGTTCATATTGATCCACACGTGAACAAACATTTTTCACAATCAACACAAGGATTCCATCAGTTGCGACCTTTAAATCCAAATTTAGTATGAAGGTGTATACGGCAGACAAATTGTTCAATGATTCCAATTATTCTGATTAACTGAAGAGATGTTTTTTTTAAAAGCTATGATTAAAATATTTGACCTGAGTAGGGGGATCATCGAAACGTTTCAGAAATATAAACTTAATTGCCAGGTCAAATGCTACTATATTCCTGGATTTTGACACATCTCATGGAGATGTTCTCTTGTTACTGTTTGATATGTAAATCTTCATGACCTTGCTTTCAATTAATATTTTTTCAATAGTACATTTTTCGGTGGTTTTAATTTTGATCCAACCTATGTTTTTTTTTTTCAATTTCAGACTGATTCCAATCATCTCTGAAAGCTAGAGAACTGGAAGCAACCTGATGGCTGATGTATCACCGAATGTTTAAGATAGAATTGCCGAGTTAGGATGTTGACCATGAGTGCATTTATTGGTTAATTCATCAATTTCCACCTTTAGAACCGTCACAGAATTTGTTGTGCTAATAGATGATGATGACCCCAAGATTCAATGGTGTAGCCGCATTATTATTTTATTTTGTATTGTATATTTAAAGAATTATTTGATAGGATCTGTTTGCATGTTGTAAACTTGGCTGATATATGACATGGAGGTAAACCTAAAGACTGAAAGATGTATTGCTGTTAATGTTCTTTCACCCAACGGGACAAAGAGAAAACTTCAATTGAAGAAAGTTGATTTTGGTATTTTTCTTTTTCATATACATGTTCGATAATTTCATTTATTCAATTGACTAGGTTTCATGACGTGTTCCTTGGACACTGAGTAAAACATTTTTTAGCATATTTTTATCAACAATATGAGAAGTGTATTTTCTTCATAAAGATGTAAGCAATCAATAATCCTGAGACCTCATAGAGGCACAACGAACAAATTTTGCCGTAAGATTCACCAGGGACTACTCTATAGGAAGTGTTTTCTTACAGGCAACTTATAATAGAAAAGAGGTAGAATACTATTTTGTGGATTGCATCAACGTGTAACAAGAACATAGAAAAAAACTTTTAATCCCCCCCACCCCACACCAAACACACACCCACACCAACCCACACACAAAAACCCTGCAGAGCTGGCAATCATTTGCATGAAGGCTGGCAAACAGGCAAATGCTTGTGCTTCCTTGTTGGTCATAATAAACGAAAAATTGTCGAGGGAAAGTCGGTCACAACATATTTATACTTAACCTTTGAATTATACAAGGCCAATGCTACAGACAAACTTTAGGTTAAAGATGCATAATTTAACCAAGCAAGAGTATTTCAGCAATTATATACATTCTGAAAAATTGCATATTTTTTCCAACCCCTTGCACAATTTCGACAATCAGCATGCAGAAGCTGACAAGTCTCAGTGCTAAACAATAAGCACAAATTTTAACACAATTAACTATTCAGCCAAAAAAATACATGAAAGAAAAAAAGAGTAATAAACAAGTCGGTTGCAAGAATACCAGCGGAAATATATTGAGCACGGATGCTTATTTGATACATTACTGAATCTATAAATAAATAAAGCCTTCGGCACTCTCTTCCCTTTCCAAGAAATTCCACATGATGCGGCATACAGAACTTGCTAGGTATGACATCCTAATCCAACTGCAGTTGAAGCCCGTCGCTTAAAGAATTTCAATAGGTGAGCTAAAAACTAACAGTCACTTGTATTTCAACAACCACAGGAGAAGTAGAACCAAAAATGTCTGCTTCTCAAACCGTGGACTAGGCTATAATGACCTCGCCAGTAGCCACCCGTGGCTTGGAATAATCCTGCATAATCTAGAAAAATATTTTTTTGTTTGAGGAAACATCATATGCTAGAAGAAATGTAGCAAAATATCCAAAGTTTCAAAAACCAGAAAATATATTGTATATTTTAACGAATACGAAATAGAACATCTATATTTCAAATGTAAATGACGTCTTCTCCTACAGTTATTTGGCTTTCATGCCCATTGCAACTTTGCAAGTCCCTACTTAAATTTATCATCTTCAGTTTCTTCCAGATTATTTCTTAGTAGAGGATTTTGGAGGATTTCTTCCAGATTTTGACTTTGTAATGGTAAATCACTCCCCCAGGTTTTGCCCTTGAATGGTACTACAAGAATCAGACAACTGGGAAGTAAGGCAACATGAGCAGTTAATTTCCATATGCTGTAGTGGCAGTGGCACAAACAGACTTGGACTTGCAGGAGGATCAAATTATGCTAGCTGAAATCAATGGAACAGATCCCTCTGCATATTTCAGTCAGGATATAAAGGATATAAAATTTGCACTTTACACTACCGCAGAAATCTCGCCACCATCTCGGACTATTCATGACCCCAGTTTCTGTTGGATATTTTCTATGAAAAGGTCAAATTGACTTTTTCTAAACACATTTATTATCCCATAATTCTCCCAAACCGTTACTAATTCTTTCTCTTCCTTTGTTTAATCCTCCAATCTTGTAACCACCTATCTTCCTCTTTTCCTATAAAAACCCCCCTTTATCACCCTCTCAAGAGATAACAATTCTCTCTTAAAATCTCTATATATTCCTCTAATCCTCTCCCTCTCTCTCTCTCTCTCTCTGTGAACGGAAGAGAGAAAGAAACAGTGAGAGAAAGAAAAGGAAAAGAAATAGAGAGATAATTATAACGGGGTTTTGTGCTACTATATTCTCGATATTATTATTTTATTTTATGGGCAACTTCCTTTATCTGAGCTGAAGCTCTGCACTCTCGCCCGAGTGTAGAGGCCGGCCGTTTCCGGGGGTTTTTACCGCTAGGGGAGAGGGGATCATCTGCGCCAGGGCGATAGGCAGGTCCTCAATCTTCTAGGACAGTGAATACACGACTGCTCCCGTCAGGCCTGATTTTCTTATCTCTCATTTATTTTGATTTCGGATTTATTTCAAGATATAATCTTAATTTATTTTGATAAATTTCTAACAATCTAGAAGATTGATTATATAACTGTTGATTTATTAAATCCGAAATAAGTTTATCTATAATTAATTGCTTTTAATTATTGCTGAATAATTTCTGTTAATTCGGAAAAAATAGTTAAAAGTTACTGTTCATCAAAAAATAATAATAATCTGTTTTGATATTGTTCATCTAATATGATTAATTGTAGTTACTTTCATTTGGTTATCTATTAAATAGCTATTAGAAAATAAAAGGTACTGTTCACCAGAACCTTATTTTACTATTCACTTGGGAAAAATACAATTTAAAAAAAAAAATATTGTGCATCCACTACCATTCTTTATGGTTCATCGTACATGTATATTAAACATTACTGTTTATTAAAATTGTTACTGTTCATCCAAAATAACCTTAAACATGTAATTAATTGCTTTAATTACTGTTAATTACTGCATTTATTGTATTTTTTTTAATTGTTGATAATTATTGCTTAAATAATTACAATTAATTGCAACTTGTAATTGATTTTATAATTAATTGATAACAGATCGCCAATTTAAGTATAAAATGAGGTTACCTCCACTATATGTTGTTAAGGAGGAATTATTTCTCTGTTCAAAATGTTTTTTTTTTAAAGAAAATATGCTCTGTATTTGAACGTTGATGATCACCAATAAATAATTTGAGCTTTTAATACTTATTTATGTTTGAAAGTCTCATATGCATGGTTTTGACAAGAATAAAGAAAACAAAATAGATGCTTTGAAATATCTGGATTTGTTCATGGTTTAATGCTTTCATTTCTTTAAACTATGAATATGGTACCTTCTATTATTAATAATTCCATACTTTGAAGTGCTTATACATCTAATAAGCTTAGTACAGAAGGTGGTAAAAGTGAATACAAATTTGTTCAGCAACTTCTGTGGCAGTTGTCTGCAGCAGATGAGTTTTACTCTCAAGACATGAAAATCATGAGGTTCGAACATCAATAGGTAAACCCCTCCTCGGCCTTATCCAACATATGCTTGCAGTATAATTGCTTAGGCAAATCAAATGCTTGCAGAAAATATTTTAAAGTTTTCTGTTACTGTTAAGAAACAAAAACTCATTGAGTGAACCGATTCAAGTTTTCTTGGATTAGTTGGTGTCTAAGGCAAGGTTTAAGGGTTGCGTAATGCGCTCTGCAAGGAACGAGGTACTTAATTGATCTTTGATCAACCTCTATTACTATCCTTACCTGGCTAACTACCCGGGTAAAACTTTAATATTTTCACTTTAGGAGTTTTTGGTTTGGAATAAGAGGACCAGAATTATGAGAATAATTCATATGCATTTATTTAATTACGCTTCTTGCATCATATATTGCCTAATGATAAATGATCAATATATGAGCGAACAAATCAAAGAGGTGCATTTTTTAAAATTCTATTTTATATGGTGGATTATATTTCAAATCTTCAAATGTAAAGTTCATCATTTTTATTGCATTTTGATGAATATTACAATAACGGAATTATGAAAAAAAAAATTCATATGCATTTATTTAATTACGTTTCTTGCATCATATATTGCCTAATGATAAATGATCAATATATGAGCGAACCAAATCAAAGAGGTGCATCTTTTAAAATTCTATTTTATATGGTGGATTATATTTCAAATCTTCAAATGTAAAGTTCATCACTTTTATTGCATTTTGATGAATATTGCAATAAATGTTCATATGTCTTTTTAGATAACTTGCATTTGTTACATGATTAATTACAAGGTTTTATGCAAGAATGCACTTGAAAAATTTAGTATGTACAAATATTATTATTATTATTATTTGTATAAGAGGTGGTACTAGAAAATGGCAATATAAATTTGGAAGGTCTCCTTTGTAGACAACCAATTTAAATTTGGAAGGTCACATTTGTAGGCAACCGATTTAAATTTGGACGGTCTCCTTTGTAGGCAACCAATTTGTAACCTCTTATAATAGAATAATTTAAAAATTTTATGCATTTGAATTATGAAGTATGAAATATATTTTAAGATACGAAAATATATTTTAAGATACGAAATCCTATTATGCTCTGCATGTATCTATTATTAATTTCATTCATGTATGTGCATATGCATAACTGCAGAATTTTTAGTTCCACATTAGTTTGAAATGTTCAAATATTAAGGTCAATCTCTTCAGACATAGACTATGATCTTTTATGATCATAGATCATGACCTAATGTCAATTTATAACAATATGATGGACTAATTACAAAATAAGAACTTGATAAATAAATACAACGCCTGCTAGGCAAAGTTATGATTCTAGACTTTGTAAAGTCTGTGAAAAGAATCTTGATGACTCTTTGACTAAGGGATTATCCAGGAGTGTGGTTCTGGATTCATCGAGGGAGATGGGGTTAAGCCCATAGATGAGGTCACTGACAGCGGCAACCCAACCCTTATTTGGAGACGTAGTCCCAATGTCGGTTCAATGTGGTAGAAACAAGCTGGACTAGTGACACTCGTGTGGAGCATCGACCTAGATATATTTATATATCATTATGTAGCATTTGCTACTACCCCTTCTCTATGATGACGATGCTCTTATGATACAGCTGGCTAGGCTGAGTTTTACTCTTAATAAGTCCAACGCGTGTATTGTGGGGGGTATTAAATAAACAGCTGTAGTACCCTTTGAGGACTTACCTACGTGAGAGGAACCGTGATGGCCGCGGTTAGGGGGGGCTGGGCTAACCCCTAGAAACTCTCATGAGTCGGTTTATTGTGAGCATGGCCTTTAACGCTCAACCCGCTTTGCTCAATAGATGAAGCGTATTGTGTGTGTTTTCATCAATACCTGATTAAAGGGGCCTAATTCAAGGCCTAGTCCATTATGTCCCTCAGGTGGCGATGAACTCACTAAGGAAAGGTTCAAAGCCGAAAGCTACCTCTCCCGAATTCACGATACGAAAGGTTGCCCAACCTATATTTGTTTTATGATTTCTTGATTTATTTATTGATTTCTGAGTCTTCAGTCAATATTGCCTTTTGGGGGGGACTGTTAGATATTTTGTTAAGAAAAGACAATTTTGCCTTCATGAATAATAATAAATTTTTGTAATTAAAACATGTTTTAATTAGCAATTAAAAATATGTGTAACGGCCATATAATTATGGGGAACGTTACAAAATTTATGACGAACGTTACGGAATTAATTACGGGTTTTGTAACGTCTTTTCCAACCCTATATATATATCCATATGTTGAGCTCAAAATAATAAGGAAAAATATACAACAAGTTTCTCTTGTTTTTCTTCTCTCCCCTACATATTATTTTCATCTACATTTTAGTTTTTTATGGGCAACTTCATTCATCTGAGCTGAAGCTCTGCACTCTCGCCCGAGTGCCGCCAGGGCGATAGGCGGGTCCTCAATCTTCTAGGACAGTGAATACACGACTGCTCCCGTCAGGCCTGATTTTCTTATCTCTCATTTATTTTGATTTCGGATTTATTTCAAGATATAATCTTAATTTATTTTGATAAATTTCTAACAGTTTCATTATAGGCAAGGATAATATGGTTAAGCAATTAGAGAACCTCAGTGGAAAGTAAATCTAGATGCCCTTACTAATGGTGGTTCAGAAACAAAGAAATTGAATCAACATCTATTTTCTATATATCCCATGTCACCTTGTTTTAAAATTTACAGTATCCAAGACTTTCAATGGAAAGAGAACATACCATCACTGCACCCCACTCAGACGAGCCCAATCCACAAACTGCATACCGCCATAAATGTTGTTGGCAAACCGTACACCAACTGTGAAAGCCATCGCGATAGGTGGGATGTTTTTGGCCAGAGGTGATGCTTCAACAACTCGCTCCAGCCCATTAATGACCTGGTACCGAGTATTGGAAGAAACCGCGAGAAATACACCTGGAGTTCCAAAAGCAGGGTTTAAGAACATAGTAGGCTTTTTAACGCAACAGTAGTTTTAGTTACATGTTCCCAGGAATATGTATATCACATATATAAAAGGGACTGGCTACTGAATACGAGTAGATAATTTTTGGATAAAAAACAATCACGTGTAGACATTGAATCAGTGCACAAGAGGGATAAGTTCTTAAGTAAAAGATCAAAGATGAACGGTGAATAATGGAACCAAATTAACTGGTTACAGGCAACAGAACCTTTCAGTTCAAGAAAACGAAGGATGTGGTTCATACCAAAAGCAACTAGTTACAAACAGATCAGAGGAGATGCCATGATAGGGAAAAGAGCCAATACATTTTCTTTTTAATTTTTTAAAGATGGATGCTGAAGCAGAGTCAAAGCCTTGCCCTCAGGTGAAAATAATTTTCCATAAGCAACACTTAAGTTACAAGCTTTCAAATATAAAATTTTGCATAGAGAACGAGTAGAATATCTATGCTGGAAATTTCTCTTTCTAAATGTTCAATTTTAGGTATCATTATCAAGGGCACATGCAAATTCTTCTAACATATATGTGCAAATTATAACAATTTAACATTGGAGGACGTACATGCTAAAATTTTATTTATATGTGCATGCAAAATTTTAAGATGCCTGTACATCAATTGAATTCTTCAAAGTTGGAGGGAAATAAGAAAGGGAAGAAAGAAAAAGGAGTTGACTGATAAAATTTGGTAACATGAAAAGACAACAGCATACCCCAAAGTGCAGCACTTTTCACAAGAGGTGGAACTGGCACATCCTCTTCTGATTTCTTGACACTCCTGAAAAGAAGAAAAGGGATGGTTCACATAGCCTATTATATTAAAACACCAAAAGACAGTGAGGCATCTAAATGACTTTACAAAATAATATGCCTGAAAAGGATGAAAGAGAATTTCACAATGGCTGATTATCACATGGACGAACCTTCCATTTATAAGTGCAAAATGCTGTAATGTAAAGAGACAATGCACCATCTTGAACATGCTTCCAGATTAAAGTTCATCAAGACATAAAATGCCACCATTACACAGTTTTGTATATCACTATGTATACTAGTCTTCTGGTGCACGCCATGCGTGCATGACGGGGGAACATAGGGAGGGGGTGGTGAAATAGAGGAATGTGGGGGTGCCGAACGTGTGGTTTCTTTTTCTTTTTTCCCCTTTTCTTGGATTTTTCCAAGTTTCCCCTCTCATCGATAATAATATATGAAGAACATACTGAGGGCAAGGAAAATTTTGTATGAAAGGTGGACATCTTCTCGTTTCAACTATAGCTGAAGGGTAAAAAAGTAATTTTACAAGATTTTTTTTTTCGTTCTTTTATTATTATTATTTCCTTTAAGAACATTCTATAAGAGTTATTTAACTATTTTTTCCCTTCAAGAACATTCCATTGGATTCATGGACATGAATTTAGAAACCAAATAATTACATGTGCGCCACCATATTTTAAATTGTAAAAGGAATAAACTAAAGATATAAAATTTTACAATATATA